TGATACATACATGTTTATAGGTGGGATGACTGGTTTGTAAAAAAAGTCATATGTACTTTTTGAGAGAAAGTATCTGCTTCTGGGGTTTGAAATATAGAATAACTTACCTGTAACCAAAATAAAATGTTCTCTCTATTGAAACTCAGCCAGTGGAGACTGTTAGGCCTGGTAGAGAAAAGTGCACAGGCTCTGGAGTCCTGCCCCACCTACAAAGTGTGTGCAAAGTGACACGACCCATAGTATTTTGAGGCCTAAATGACTTAAGACATTCAATGAATCTTAGCTATGTTTATTTTTTTATCTCCATTCTGAAAAATATTATAGACAGTACATATTATCCTTTTTTAAATTTTTGTTGTTTTTATTTTTTAAAGTGAATATTTTTTTTTTCAAATACATTTGTCTCTGCCTTCACCTACCACTTCATATTACCTTTTAAAACACAGCGAAGAGTTGAGGAAGATAAAATATACCAGAATAGGTTTCAGTTTAGGAGAACAAAGAAAAACTTCTCTTGGAACCACATAGCCTTAGTGAGATTGCAACTTTGACTGTGAGGTTTATTTCATTTAATTAAAAATATGGATATGTGTGTGGGGGTAAGAACATTTAAAATTTAAAATGAACTTACAGGCTTTTATTCTTAGATCTCTCTCTCTCTCTCTCTCTCTCTCTGCCTCTCTGCCTCATATCTTGACCTGTCTTCAGCAACAGTTACCCTTCGTATTTATTACGCTTTACATTCTAAGCGATTTTTTCTTATAATCCAGTTTTCCATGTCCTTGGGAAAACTCAATGCATAAGCTAATTGTCAATATTTTGCAGCTTCTTTGAGAACATTTATCATAGCCCCCTACATAGTATCATTGAACTCTTTCAAAACAGGTACTGAAGCTCACGAGTCATCACTGTATTGATTTCTGAATATTATCTTATTGGAGACATTCCAAAACTGAACAAAGCCAGGACTGTGACCACTGAGGAACTGTGTTCTAACAGGAGACCTGTGGTCTCTTACAGGTGTACATTCTATTTGTTCAGATGGCCTCTTTTTATAACGGGGTTGTTTGAGGCATAGAAAACTGGAACTTCACGTTTCTCCTTGATATTTTGCCAGCTTGGTTCCCAGCCAGCCCGATAGCTGCTTGTAGGGACACTCCTTGCTCTCGGACTCCCGACCCTGTGCCAGCCCTCAGAGGGCAGTCCCGCTCAGCTGCTCGCACCGTCCCGACCAAGGGCACCGCTGCTCTGGACGCCCCCAATGTACAGGTAGACATCTCATACCAACTCAAGGGACTTACAGCTAAAGTTCCAATAAAACTCTGAGGTAAAGAATGTTATTTTTACCATTTCAGTTTTATTTTACAGTTTTAAACGGAAAATAGGAAGGCAAGTATAGAGCTCTGTTGCTTTGCCTTCCTCAGTGTTTGGTCCCTAAGTTTCTAAACCCAGCCTTCGGAATCTAAGGCCTTACAGGCAACGTCCCTTCTCCAGTGGAACCAATTCTTCTTTAATCCTTTCTAAAAGCAACACATATTTCATTGTCTCCAACCCCACCTCCTGAATTTTGCCCGTCTGATAATTATTGTATGTCTTTGGATTACGTAGCTTCCCCAAATATATCATGTCAGGAATTTGTTTTGTCATTTCAGATCTCTTTCTAGAATTATCCATTTCTCTGATTAATTCCATCATTCTTTCAAGCTAGCAAACTCAAAACTTTACTGTAATTGAGACTTTTTTCCTATATCTAGAATGTTACTAAAGTCCAGTCATTGCTCAATCAGTAATATTTTTTCTGCTTGATCCTTTTGTTTCATTTCCTCTGGAGCCCTCTCATTCTCTTACCATTTTATGTCTGAACTACTGCAGTAAGTTAATATCTCGCTTATATTATGTTAACACCTAAATCTTCTTCACACCCATGAGAATGGCTATAATAAAAAAGACAGACAATAACAACTGTTGGTGAGGATGTGGGGAAATTGGAACACTCATACATTGCTGATAGAAATGTAAAATAGTACAGCCACTTTGCAAAAACAGTTTGACAGTTCCTCAAAAGGTTAAACAAAAAATTACCATATGTCCCAGCAATTCGACTCCTAAGACTCCTACTCCCAAAAGAGTTGAAAACCTAGGCCCACACAAAGACTTCTAATAATGAATGCTCATGTTCAAAGCTGCATTATTCACAATAACTTAAAGGTGGAAGTAACCCATGTCCAACAAAGGAATGGATAAACAAAATGTAATATATACATAAATGGAATACTATTCAGCCTTAAAAACGTAAGGAGCTCTTCCTGTGAGTGGCCAGAGGTGGCCTCTGATAATTGTCTGCTATACACTTGACCAAGAAAATCCCACAGAGTCATGCAAAGCAAGAGGTTCAAATCTTCTTGTTCACTTGAACACTCGTGAAACTACTGAGGCCATCAAAGGCATGCATATTTGAAAAGCAAGCAAGTATCTTTAGGATGTCACCTTACAGAAGCAACGTGTGCCACTCTGTTATTACAGTGGCAGAGTTGGTAGGTATGCCCAGGCCAAACAGTGGGGCTGGGCACAGGGTCAGTGGCCTGAAAAGATTCCTGAATTTTTGCTGCACATGCTTAAAAATGCAGAGAGTAATGCTGAACTTAAGGGTTTAGATGTAGGTTCTCTGGTCGTTGAGCATGTCCAGGTGAACAAAGCTCCCAAGGTGCAGAACAGAACTGACAGAGCTCATGGGCCACACACGAGCTCTCCCTGCCACAGCCACACTGAGATGAACTTACTGAAAAAGAGCAGATTGTTCCTGGGCCAGAAGGGGAGGTTGCACAGGAGAAAATAATATCCCGGAAGAAACTGAAGAAACAAACTATTAAGCCCCAGAAGTAAATTCAGCATAAAATAAATGCTAATAAAAGTAAATGGAAAAAAAGGAAGGAAATTGTGACACATGCTACAACATGGATGAATGTTAAAAGACATGTGCTAAATAAAACAGCCAGTCAAAAAAGGACAAATATTGCATGAGTCTGCTTATATGAGGTATATAGAAAAATCAAATTCATAGAGACAGGAAGTATAATTACATTTGCCAGGAGCTTTGGGGAGGGGAAAATGGGAAGTTAATGTTTGATGGGTACGGAGTTTTGGTTTGAAAAGATGGAAAAGTTCTCAAGATGGATGGTGAATAATTTAATGCCGTAGGATAAGTTAAGACAGTAAATTTAATATTATATATACTTTACCACAGTAAAAAATACTTGTATGTAAATAAATGTTCATAGCATCATTACTTACAATAGCCAAAAGAAGAAATACCTCAAATATCCACAGTGAAGGGTGATACACCAATTCAGTGGAATGTTACCGATAAAAAGAAATGAAATAATAATACACACTAACATGAAGATGAACCTTGGAAACCTTATGCTAAGTACAGGAAACCAGACACAAAGAGCCAGATTTTACAGGGTTGTATTTATCTGAAATATCAAAAATAGGCAAATCCATAGAGATAGAAATTCAATTAGCCAGAGGAGGGATGAATGAGAACTGACTGCTGATGGGCACTGGATTTATTTGAGGAATGATGAAATTGTTCTGGATTTTAGGTAGGGGCAATAATGGCACAACTTTTTGAATGTACTAAAAATACTGAATTGTATATTTTAAAGAGATGCATTTTATGATCTGTGAATTAATCTCAACTTTTAAAACCCCACATGATGCCATGTTTCTAAAGGAGCCGTATGCCCTTGTCTCAGCTTATTATTTCTAGCTATGTAACTTTAGAAAATTAAGTGACCTCCCATCTTACTCGGTACAATAGGGATAATAATAACTATCTCACCAGCTGTTTGTGTTAGATGAGGTAACACATGTAATACATCCAGCACTGTGTCTAACATTTGTTAAGAACTCAGTAAATTTACTAAGACCCCTTGGGATACCAGCTTTCAACAGCTTCCAAGACTATTCCAGATAATGTTTTCAGATATTTGGAGAAATGGCCTGACTTCCTTAGCCATTTTACCAATGCTCTTTATGTTCTGACTCAAATATGCCTCTCCAAAGCTTACAATGTTCCTTCATAGAAATCCCTAGTCAGAATGGGCTTTATATTCTCCCTCAATGTTCTGTACATATTCTTACAGCTCTGTCTGACTGGAAAGTGCTCTCTTCCTGTTCCTCTCTGTCTTTCTCTGAATTTCGCCCTGCCCTTAGAACTCAGGAGACTTTCCGAAACCATGCTTTCAACTTCCTCCTTTATTTCATGGATGGTAATCTCTACTTTTTGTGGAACTCAGGATTTTTACGACATCTTGACCAGTGCACTTTAGTTATGTATATTTGGTTATATACTCTGTTAGGTGATATTTTAAAAGTGTGTGTCCAGGCTCACCGGCTCAATTAAAGGGGCCACATGTTATTATTCTTTTGCATATTGCCTTGATACAGTGATATTCTGAATAAATATTTGCCATTTATGGGTTAAGTTAGTGCTACATCTCAGCAAGTACAGGGGTTTAAACTAATGACTCTCAATCCTGGCTGCACCTTAGAATAACCTGGGGAATAAGGCTTTGTTTTAGCCCAGCAAATCACAATCTGCCCAGAGGCCTCAGCTTCACTTGCAGGTAATACTGTTACAACCACCACCGAGAGCCATTTGATTACACAGATGAAGGACTCTAAGCCAAAGGTCTCAAGCCTAATTGATTATCACAATCAAGATGTGAGGAGCACAAAAGCAGGCAGAGATGCTTAGGGCTTTGCAAAGTGCTCTACAAATATTAGACAATGTTATTGTCATGCATTAGGGAGTTGCACTGCTTTGAGAAAGATCCTCCAACCGTAATTTTTTTTAACAGCCAATGGTGTAGTGGAAATAGCCAATTATGGACATCTTAAATCTTTTAAACTCTACATAATAGCTTTCATACCAGATGTGCATGCCTTGTTCCTTTTTGCTAACTTTAAAAATATTCACTCTGTGTCTTTCCCAGGCTGGCCAACATTCAGCAGCAGACCCTCTTAAGATTGTTTACTTGCCCTTGTTCCTGTTGAGTGACCACGCTTGGATGCAGGAGATGGGCTCAGCAGCAGCCAACAGGCCATGATCCAGGAGGAGCAGTGAGGGACAGAGCTGCTGGTAAGACAGTGGGGACAGTTGGTGCTTGGTTTGCTAGAAGTTTATTCCCAGTTTAATGGTAAATGTGTCTTCCGAGCTCAACTCTAAGTTACTCTGTACTCTCTCAAAGGCCTTTATTATCTATGCTTTAGACACATGGCTTAAATGTTTAAATCTGAATCCCTCAAAGTTATGTGCTGAGTTTTGTATAATACACTTCATTTTTCTGGAGAAAAGACTTTCATCAGATTCTCAATGTCTGTGAATTTTAAAGAGATAACAACCATTCAGATAGAACCACAAATGTGGAGAAATGTGATTCCTGGAACCATTTGCCCCAGGATTTCTCCTGTCCATTTTTATATCACCATGGCCACTTGGTCTCAGTCTTGTTGAGGACCAGAAAACTGGTGATTGTGGTCATTTTCTGGACTGAAAAGTGAGCACCTGCTGTGCATAGGCAGCGGGGCTTCATGACAATTTGGCTCCAGAGAACTAGTGGAGAAGTAAAGTATAAAATGACAGAACTCAGGAAAGCCTATGTCATATGTCACATGATCTTTTTATACATGATTTAAAAAACGTAGAAGATTGACAGAGAGGTAGACAAAAAATACTTTTTACATCATGTTCTTACAGTTGATCTTAATAGAGTTCAATTTGGTTCTGAATGCCACTGGCCTGTTAACGAATGTCCCAACATAAGGATTATTTCTCAGATCAGTATCCCTTATGTGGATGAGTAAAAGTAGGTAACTGGTGTACTTTTTTCCCAAAATATTTCAGATGAAGACTAGAATGAATTCTACCATACATAGCTTTGTCTTTACTATAAACCAGTTAAAGTTAGGAGGGCCTTGTAGGAAAGAAAATGGAAGTTAGAGAGAAAGAAGGTAGAGCGAGGCTTTTTTTTTTTTTTCCTTCTGTAACTCCTTTAGCAAGTAAATCAGCTTTGCTTCCCCAGAAGGCTCACGAAGCTATAATCTGTGCCCTCACTCCAGGCTTCTGAGGATGTAAGTGTGCACTCTGCTACTTGATACTTCTTAGAGACAGACCTGGTGCTGAGAAGTCCTTTCCAGGGTGTCCTCAGTTAAACTCCCATGATTCTTGGATGTTGCCATTTTCGAGACACAGGGCAAGTGCCTCTGCCTAGATTACCTCTCTGGCCTGGGAATATTAAGTAAGGGAAAGAGAACTCAGCACTGTAGTAACTCTCAGAATGAAAATTTTCCCCTTGCATGCTAATGTTTTTAGAGTAATCATTGTCACTGAAAATAGACTTCCTCTTTCCCCTCTCATGCTGGAAAATCTTAGGTAATTATGAATAAAGCATTCTTTGCTTTTCCCCTCCTCCCTTCGTGAATGCTTTGCCTCTCGCTGTGAGGACTGAGGCTGCTCACTCTGTACTTGACCTTAAGAACTGAAAGAAATTTTTAAAACAAAAATTTTATCTCTTTAGTGAAGTCATAGGATTTTATCTTTTTGGAGGCAAAGGGTGGGTAAATAGGAAGGTGCAGAAGTTTATGGAAAAGTGTAAGATAAATCATCAACAAGAAATGAGGTCAGGACCTTAAAGTATTAGCTGAATGTAAAAAAAAAAAAAAGATTTTAGAAGTAATGCTCAGGTGAAAAAAATCTTAGTTTACATTTATTTTCTTGTAGTTGGATAAGATCAGTTTAGGGCTCATTTTCAGTAGCAAATAAGTCTAGGGCTTATATTTTAGTAACACTTATTAGCTATATGTTCTTCAGGAAATTATTTAACCTCTTTAAGCCTTCTTTTACTTGGCAAATAGGTCATAGTTAATACTAATGGGATCATATAATATATGGATGATATCTGCAGGGCCTGGCACATAGTAAGTTCTCAATTTTATATTAGCCTTTGTTATTAATTACTATTATTAATGCTGCTTTCAGTTTTTTAAATAGTCAATTTAGTTAAAAAGTATTCCTTGGGTGTCTATCAAATACCAGGTACTCTTTAAGAACTAGAATGCATTAATGAGCAAAACAGATAAAAGTTTTCTTTTCCTTGTTTAGCTTAGAATCTGGAGTGGGAAACAGATATAAACAAGATAAGTAAATAAAAATGTATGTAGTATGTTAAATATCAAGAAGTTCTAAGCATAGGAATTTAAAAGTAGAAAAAAGAAATTGGGGTGATGTTGAGGTAGTGATTGAAGATGGAGTAATCAAGAAAGACCCCATGAGATTATTTTTTTAGTAAAAATGTGAAAAAGAAATAGAAACATAATCATAAACTTACATGGTAAAGAGTATTCCAGCTAGAAAAGACACAAAGACTTAGAATAGTAGAAGCTTTTCCTGATGAATCAAAGAGAAGCAGAGCATCTTACGCAACTTAATCTTATTCCACCAATAAACATTTACCCATATACCCAAGTGATACAGGTAAGAACTTTGGAAGTTCAAGGAATAGCACAGTTTGTCTAGAGTAAAACAGAGGAGACTGCAAAAAAATGTCGCAGGTTGTGGCCTCAATCTTGAAGGATAAAAAGAATATGGATAATTGGTAAAAAGGTATAAACTTTCAGTTATGAGCATAGTCTGAGGGTGTATAACATGGTGACTATAACACTGTACCATATAATTGAAATTTGCTGAGAGTAGAACTTAACTGTTCTCACCAAAAAAAAAAAAAAAAAAGGGTAAATATGTGAGGTGATGATGTGTTAATTAACTTCATGAGGTGAAGTTCTTTCACAAGATACATATGTATATCAAAGTATTATACTGTACATTATATATACTAATCTTACAGTTTGTCATTTATATCTCAGTAATGCTAAAAAAAGAACTCCAAGGAAAAAGTTCTAATTGAAGTATTTTTTTTTTTTTCACAAACAACACACACACACACTATGCCAGTAGAGACAGGTGGAGAAGAAACAGCATGAGGTGAAATGAACTGAGGATGTTGGCTTTGAGGGCAGGGGTCTACCAGACACAGGGCCCAGGGGAGGGGCAGGAGCAGGTTGTCTTCTTGTGCAGAAGTGGCAAGCAGTAGAAGAGCTGATGGCAAAGCAGGTGAAGCCAAATTTTGTAAAATCTTAAAGCCATTCTTAAAATCATTACATGCTATCTGACAAATATTGAGGAACAATTGAAGCAGTAAGTAATAAGGTGTTCCAAGTCTTTAACAAAGTTATTATTTTGACAAGTTAAGAAGAATTGGGAGATGGAGGAAATAGAGTGATATGAGAGATTGAGAACACAGATTATGATAATAAGACTGAAAAAGGAAGATAGATTTGATATATTTTAAAGAAAAATCGTGAGGATTTTATGGGGGATTTGCACACGGGAGATACAGGAGGAGTCAAAGTTTCTCTTCAGGTTTTAAAATGACCAATGACGTGTTGGCACTAAAAGAAATGGGGAAGTTAGGGTACCCAGAGGTGAAACCGGACTTGCCTGAGGTCATGTCATGAGCTAATGACAAAACCTGCACTGGCCGCAGGTTTCCATTTTGAGAGCCTCCTGCCACCCTTGTCGGTGCAGGCTGTAAAGAGTGACAGAGACGTCTGGTTTGCCAGCTTGCTCGTGGAGAATAGAGTTAGAAGGTTTGCAAATGCCATTAGCATTGTGTTTAGCTGTTCTTGTAATTAATGGGGACATTTTTACCCTCTTTCATGAAACAGATCTTTGTTTAGAAAGGGTCAAAGCAGCATTGGTAGGACTTAGAAGAGGGCCATTATTATATATATGCTTAGAGTCTCCAATCTAGTCTTTGTTGATGTTTCCTGATTTAAAATAAGTCATCTCTCTTTCTCTTCAATAGTTTGAGATGGAATAAGTATTTCTATCATTGTACTTTTTTTCTGCTTATCTCTCAGAAGAAAAGTGGTTTCTGTTATTGCAAATTTAAATCACTACCTAGACTTTAAAATTAAGCTATCAAATGCTGCTTTCTTAAAGATCAGTCTTATAAACTGAAATCAGTGCTCCTTGTTGTAATAAGCCTTATTAGTGTATCTTTTGACTCATAGGACTTTAAACAAAAATTATCTATTTAATGCAGTGCTATTCAAACTGCACTCTTCAAATTATTCTGCTACCCATCTATTTGTTAATGTCTTCTTGTTGTTAATAAAATAGAATTATCTGGCAAGTGAGAAGAAATGTATTTAAAAGAGAAAATGTTTATTTTTCTATTTAAAAGTTTTTATACATGTCCTTACTCTCTCCATCTCATATGCCACATTATGATACAAGTCATGACTCAACTGTGTAAAAACAAAACCTTCGTCAGATGTGGTGGTGTCTTATGTATATTTTCAGTCCCAAGTTGGTCTCAAAGTCTTTGTGTCCCAAGAGACTGAATTATGGCAGACTACTGACACTCTCATGGGATTCTCCTGAGAACTCTGGCAATCCCTACGTTCACGAATAGCCCTGTAGCACTTTTGGTACTAATGCCTGTCTGCATTTGACATGTACTTTGCATTTCAGACAAGTAAGCCTTGCTAACATAGAATGCACCCTATGGAAGCTATTCTCATCATTCTTGTGTTTCAGTTTCCCTTCCAAAAGGTGGAGTATCAGTTGCCTCCACTGATCTCATAGGATATTTTAAACAAAAACGAGGGTCTTGGTGAGTAGACTTTGTATTCTGAGAGAAAGTTTTAGTGTAAATGAAGGTACTAGAAATGTTTATCCATCTTGACAGATGTTAACTCTGACCTAACCTTTTCCTAAAAATGTGAAAATAGTGTGTTATTTTGGCTTTTTGTAAGCTGGGAAGATTAGAAGAACAAGTAACAGGTTTCTGGTAGAATCTGTGATCATATAGTTAATGTTGTATATATGTATAACAATTTTGTGATTCTCAAATCACAGCACATACAGTTCTTGAATGTTAGTGGGGGTCTTGGAGGGACTTTAAAAACCCCAAAAAACCTTGGACATTTTCTCAAGATCTTGAATCTCCCTCCACATTCATACCTGTGCACACATGTGCACACAACATCCTTCCATATATCCTCTAAGCCAGCTTG